GTGTCGTGCTGTATAATCTTCTCAGTGCCATAAAAATAGAAAACTGTGTGTGTGTGTGTGTGTGTGTGTGTGTGTGTGTGTGTACACACAGCATTTGTTAACAGCAGAAAAGTTGAGAATGAAGGATGAGGAGGTTTTAACTTTTTTAAGCATCAGCATGTCCTATTGTATAAAGTATTTTAAAGAATTGCCTGGATAATATGCATATAATTCTATAGTACCTGGATGATGAGATTATGGACTCCATTTTCTTCATTAGAAAATTTTCAGATTATTTAAAAATAATAATAATGTATTTCGCCCTGGCCGGTTTGGCTCAGCGGTTAGAGCATCAGCCTACAGACCAGAGAGTCCTGGGTTCGGTTTCCACTAGGGGCATGTACCAAAAAAATAATAATAATAAATAATTATAATTATGTATTTCAAACAATAAAAGACAAAAACCAATCACAAATAGCCAATTATCTTTAAGAGGTTGCAAGAATTGTGAACACTATATAAAAACATGTAAAAAAAAGTTATGATACAGTCCTGGCTGGTATTGCTCAGTGGTTATAGTATCAGCCCACAAACCGAAGGGTCACAGGTTTGATTCCCAGTCAAGGGCACATACCCAGGTTGTGGGTTCAATCCCCAGCCCGGTTGGGGTGCTTGCAGAAAGCAACCAATCGATGTCTCTTTCTCTCTCTCTTCCCTCCCCCCTCTTCCACCCTCTCTAAAACTCAATGGAAAAATATCCTCGGGTGAGAATTAACAACAAAAAAGTTATGATACAATATAGGTTAAAAATAATCAGATAGTTACACCACGGAAACAACTATGTAAATCATCACGAGTATGAAAATACTAGAAAATAATTCACAAAAACAATAATAGTGGGATTATAGGTATCTTTTTGTTACTGCATTTTTCAGTCTCACTGAAATGCAAATCTAATACTTCTCTAATAAAACATAATGAGCCTCGCCAGTGTGGCTCTGTTGCTTGGTCATTCCATGCACCAAGAAGTCACCAATTTCATTCCCAGTCAGGGCACATGCTTAGGTTGCAGGCTTGATCCCCAGTAGGGGGCTTGCAGGAGGCAGCAGATCAATGTTTCTCTCTCACTGATGTTTCTCTCTCTCTTCCTCTCTCTCTAAAATCATTAAAAAAAAAAAAAAACAGCCCTGGCTGAGCATCCTCGCATGCAGCAAAAAGCCATCGGTTCGATTCCCAGTCAAGGCATATGCCCAGATTTCAGGTTTGATCCCTGGTCAGGGTGCATGTGGGATTCAACCAATCAGTCTATGTTTCTTTCTCATACTGATGTTTCACTCTCTCCCTCTCCCTTTCTTTCTCTAAAATCAATACAACTGATTTAAAATTAAATTTAAAAAAGCCATAATGTTAACCAGAACTGGCTATATGTGGAGCATCGTGTCTGGCAATGCTAAGGGGAACATAAAGGGAGAAAAGGGGCTACAATTATACCAGATCATCAAAGATTTGAGGAGTTAGTCATCCAAGGTCATGGAAAGTGGTCTGAAATGGAAAGATTTCAGGCACATGCGTGCTTCTTTCAATGATGCCTGTCAGGTAAGCTCCTGAGCTCTCTACCCTAGATGGAGGAGGATGTGAGCAAGGTTGAGGCAGAGGGGAAGTGTCTGAGGTCAAACTGTGGCCCAGTACACACACACACACACACACACACAGAGAGAGAGAGAGAGAGAGAGAGAGAGAGAGATTTTCTTGTTGCTATGCTAGTGGTTTAGGAATAATCAGAAACTCTGTAGGTCAGAGCTGAGATTTTAGGGACCATTTTGTCTGTATCAGGCACCTCACCCCAGCCTTGCCCCAGTTTTATCTTTCTTTCAGAAGGTGTACTGGCTAAGAAGCTTATCCACAGTACCTCTGGTTGGCTCTCCAGTCCCAGAGCTCCCATCCTTCTAGACACAGAGTCCCAAAGAATGTAGATTAGGTGGTGTTTTGGGGTCCCAAGCTGAACTGAGGAGGCCAGGAGAGTATGGCCAGAGTCTTTGAAGAAAAGAGGCTACTCCTGTTACACTGCCACCTGCCCCTTTGTCTTGGTGCCCACCTGTGCTGGAGCATTCAATGGGCAGCAATCTGGGAGAGAAGAGCAAATTCAGTCCAAACTGGTAAGGAAGATTGAACCAGATAGCTCATTCCTCCAGAAACCTTCTCTCCTTTGTTCACTCTGCTGTGCCCTGGGAAGTCACCCTGTACAAACAATGCCAACGGGCTCCCTTAACTTCCGGTTCTGATTGGGACTGACTGGAGGAAGCACCAGTAGGGGGTTGGGAGGCAGAAGGAGAGTGAGGTCTGGTTATTTATTCCCCAGCTCCCTCCCTGACTGCTCACTGTGGGTCAGTTACTTCCCTTTAAGGAAAGTGACAGCCCTCTCCCCAAATCTGTTCTTTCTGAGTTCCCATACCTACCTTCTTCTCTTGTCCCTCTAGGTCTAGGAATGATAACAGCTCTGCCTTATTCCTGTCCTTAAACTCTGCCCACTGTTTTGTAAATAGCCCTTTAACTCTCTTCAAACGATCCATTTTAAATGTACCATCTGTTCCCTGCCAGGACACTGACCCAGGCAGAGTTGTTACCCAAGCTGAACTCAAAAAAGTCAATATTCCAAGCTGTCATGAAAAGATGGAGGAGCCTCTAAGCCTTCTCTGTCAGCCCAACCTCACTCTCTCAACAGTCTTTTAAGGCTTTACCTTCCCCTAAAACTCATGAGTGCTTTCTGCCACAAGTGAAGTCGTCTCTTCACCAAGGGATCTGATGAAGCTCACCTCTGACTGGGATTTGAATTCTGGCTCCAATGCTTACAAACTGGGTGGTGTTAGATTTCCTATAGGTTTTCTCTGAAGTTTCAATGAGATGAAGTGGGCAAAGTGCTCAGCTCAAACTAATGGTTACTTCTGAGGCAAGATGTATACTTTTTATACACTTTAGTTTGCCTTGACATTGTTACAAGTTTAATGTTGAAAAAAAATTTTTAAAGATTTTTAACAGTAGTTAGTAGATTGTCTGGCATATAGAAAGTACTTAATAAATGTTAATTATCATTGTCATTATCTCCATATTTTATAATATGTCTCTGGGTCTCCCCACAATTTCAGGTAGAATGCCATGCAGTCAGCCTTGTTCAGTATTACTCTTCGTGTTTACTGACTGATTGTTAACCTCCTCCAAGGAGGTGCCCTTTGGTCCCCTTTCCCAAGCTCTGCCTTCACATGGCCATCTCTCAGCTCTGCGGGCTCATAATTTTCAGTTGTTCTATGGGTGATTTGTACATATCTGTTTTTTTCTTAATCCTCACCCAAGGACATTTTTCCATTTTTTGTTCATATAGAGTGGGAGGGAGAGAGAGAAAGAGAGAAACATCGATGTGAAAGGGACACATCGAGTGGCTGCCACCCACACAACCAACCAGGGCCGGGGACAAACTGCAACCGAAGTACATGCCCTTAGCAGGAACCGAACCCAGGTCTCTCTGGACCGCGGGCTGATGCTCTAACCACTGAGCAAAACTGGCCAGGACTGTACACATTTTTTGTTGTTTCACCTGTGAATATTTTTTCAGCCAAAGATGTTGCAAGAGTCCTGACAACAGCCCTAGATTCCAGACCTTTCATTCCCAGCTGGAAGCACCTGTTCAAGGCTGGACTTTCTCCCATGAACAGGCAGGGTCACACCTCAGACAAGCATCTGGAATTGTTTTCTTTAGGTGGTGAAAGCCAGAGTCCCAGGACCATCTTGATACAGATCAAGGAGAATAACATTTGGGGCTTGATCATAACAATCCCATTTGCATGCACTTTACAAAAGTCTTTCATTCTAACCTCATGACACTCTCATAAAGATCTTGTTGGCAGTCTATAGTGCTTTTCCCTAAAATGGCTTACCAGAGGGAGCTCTGAGCCACCAGCCACTCACACAATGTCACCCGGTCCCTTGCCATCTTGAGCACGAATGCCTAATGAGAACGCAGCACTGTTTTAAGCAATTTACATATATAAACTTATTTAATCCTTACAACAACCCAAAGATCTTATGAGCTGAGTAGACCATCATTGTCCCATTTTACGGATGAGGAGACTGAAGCCTAGGGAGGAAGAAGGTACTGATAGAGCCAGAACTAGAAGCCAAGCAGCCTGGCTTCAGAAGCCTCCCATGTGTAGTGGGAAAGGACCAACACCAGTGTTCTGGACTTTAGAGTTTTTAGAGTAATCTTCTCTTGGCTCTTGAGACCTTCATATAGGGGACAAGGGTGTCTTATCAACTGGGGCCCAGAGAAGTGATGTGATTCACCCAAGGTCATACAGCTAGGGAGAGGCCTTGAACAGCTTTGCTGCCAACTAAGCACAGGATAGGTTTCCTGGCCCCTGGTCAGCTCACCACTCGTCCAACTCCTCCCTGGGCCGGTGCGGGCACTGTCTACGGTTCCTACGCCAGGGGGTGGGGAGAGGGGCCGAGCGGTTCGCAGCCTGACGGCCCGGGCGCTGTCCGCGGTGCTGATCCGGCAGCCGCGCCTGGCTCGCCAAGTGACTGGCGTGTTCCCCAGGTTTCCCTTCCAGCTCCCAGCCAAAGCCAGCTCCGCGAGTTCCAGGGGCCCGCCGGGGTCCTTAGACCCGGCTCCCGCGGCACTCGGGGCTCCCCCTCCCCTCTCCCGACAGCGCGCCGCCAGCCTCCCTTCCCCCCCCGCCCCGCCCACGGCCCCTCCCCGCCAGTTCCTGGTCCCTCCCCTCCCCCTTATCTCTCCCGCCCCCTCAGCTCCCCCCTACGGCTCGTTCGCCAGTTCCGGTCACGTTGCTGGGTGTTTACGCCTGGAGGCAGCCCCGGACCCCCCCACCTTGTCGCCCCGGAGCCCCGGGAACCCGGACACCACCGCCCCGCAGCTTCGAAGCAGCTGATGGCGCCGCAGCCGGGGCGGGCGCTGCGGAACCCCCGACGCAGCTAGCGTGGGGAAGAAGAGCTCCTCCCCCCACCCAGCCCGCGGACCCAGGGCTCCTCTGGCCTGTCGCTCCTTCTGGTCCTGAAGGTGAGGAGGCCTGTGGGCTTGGGGGGTGGGTGCCGAGGTGGCCCCTAGCGGGGAGCAGCGAGGCTGACCAGCTCCCCTGAGAGGGCTGGCGTGGGGCTGGGCACCGCAGCGCGCGGGAGGCAGACCGGACCCACGGGCTGCTGGCAGAAGTTGTCCTCCACTGCCCAGACTTGGGCCCTTCCCGGCCCTGGCGGAGAGTCCAGAGTAGCCGAGGTCAAGCCACCGCCACCTCTTGCCACCTCCTGCCACACACCTCTTTCTTTCTGCCTGTCTTTCCCTCTCCTCTAATACCTCTCTTCCTCATCCTCCTTAGTCTCCACATGCCCCCCCCCCTTCTCTGGGAGTCATATTGGAGGCGTAATCAGGGCAGAACATCAAGACTGAAGGGGGCGGGAGCTTCGTTTCCCCCATATATCCCTCTCCTGTGTTCCTGGATCCCCTGCTTTGCTGAGGTTAGAGGTCCTGGGGTCTTCAGTTGAGTGGGGAGCCATAACCTAGGTGTATTAGAGGAGGAGGGTCCTGGAGTGGAGAGGACCAGGAGACCCTTAGAGAATGTGGCTCCACCACCAGCCAAATGACCCCACCTTACAGTCTCAAACATTTGTCAAGAGCTGACTTCTTGTTCCCAACTCAAATCCCCAGGAAAGCCAAGAACTTGAGGTTGAGGGGAGTAATTATTTTTTAATACATGCACTTACTTTCCCTGGTGATTGCCAATAACACTCAACTCATTCTGCCTGTTTCACCAACATTCCTTGTGCTCCTGTTCCATGGAGACAAAGCCCTGCCCTCAGGAAACTTATTGTTTGGAGCAGAAGCCAGACACACACACACACACACACACACACACACACACACACACACACTACGTGGTGGAATGCTTGGGGAACATAGTAGCAGAAGAGAGTCATTTCCGCTTGGTGGGGGTGTGAGAAGACTTCCTGCATTTGAGCAGGGTAGCATCCTTAAAAGGTTTAAGGAGGCAAAGATAGGACAGGGAAATAGTAAATGAGGGATGTTCACAAGTATGAGGAGAGTTTGTTGTGATAGAAGCAAAAGGTAGTATCCAAAAGAGGAGAGGATCAGACTGCAAATGTGACTGCCTTTAGATTGTGAAGGGCCTTGAATGCCAGGGTGAGTGCCCAGTGGGGTGCTCCACACTGCCCGGGCACGGTCGGCCATGTATATTGGGCAAACTACTTAACCCTCTAAGCCTGTTTCCTCATCTATGAAGTGGATGTACATACTAATAGAACCTTTGATGTAGGGCTATTATGAAGATAAATGAACCAATATATGTAAAATGCTAAGAACAGTGCAAGCCATTTATTATTATAAGTATTAGTACCTGTGCAGTGATGACTATTATAAGTATTATTACCTGTGCATCGTGTCTGAGAAAGACTTTTTGAGTTCTTGCTTTCCTTCCTACCCCAACCCTCAGATTCAGGTAGTTAAGAGGAGTAACAACTAAGAAAAGTAAAGAACATTTTAATTCATTTATGTATTCATTTATTACCATGACTGTCCTGTCTAATATACCTTCCCTGGCAATTAGAATGATAAACATAAGTTCAGCATTCTCCTTGAAACAAGAAGGCATACTTAAAGGGTTTTAACAGAATCTGGGTATTGAGTGTTCAGAACAGCTCAAGAATATTTGTTGACTGAATAAATATTTGCAGTCCTAAAGAGAAAAAAATATATATTAAGAATGAAATAGAAAGTGGGACAAGAGAAGCGGTCAAGGGTGAGGGGTGGCAAACACTAAAAACTCCATGCAAGCAGAAAACAAGAGGCTTCAGTTCTGGGTCCTCTCCAGGCACTGCTTCTGCCTGACGGAGAGATGGGGGCAGCAGGGGCTCGGGGACATTGAGCAGACAAGGGAGGGGGAGTAATCAGCCACCCAAAAGAAGATCAAACTATAAAAGTAGTTCTCAAACTTTTGGTTAGCAGAAGCCTTCTCTCCAATGAATTTGTATACACAAGCCCATCATATAAAAGAAGGATAAAAACAGCAAAGCCTGGAGCCCTGCCCTTTTTCCCAACCCTTTTGGAAACATCTGAGACCCCTCTGCAGAATTCTGGGGCTCCATGGAGCAAATTTGAAAATCACTGATTGAGATGATTCTGAAGGCCCTTCAGAACCCTGAGTTCTATGATTCTGTACTTTCTATGGTCCTTCCAATCCAAAGAACTATAGGAACTGGAGAGGAGAGAGGACCACAAGTTCCTATTTCACAAGTCAGTGGTAGGCAGACAGCTGGGGAGGGAAGTGGGTACCAGGAAGCTCCAAAGAGATAAGCAGGAGGTGAAGTCTTTTTCAAGGATCAGGAGCTCAGGCCTTAGAGTCACAATTGTGCCAGGGTCAGAAGGTTCCTGCACCTGACACTGTGGCTGGAGACCTGAACACACAAGGTTCATCCCACCAACTTCCCCAAGGGAAAAAAATCTTTCTTTCTTTCTTTCTTCCTTTCTGTCTTCCTTTCTTTCTTCCTTTCTTTCTTTCTCTCTCTATCTCTTTCTTCCTTCCTTCTCTTTTTTCTTTCTTTCATTTCCTTCCTCTTTCTTTCTTTCTTTCTTTCTCTCTCTTTTTCTTTCTTTCTCTCTTTCTTTCTTCCTTCCTTCCTTCTCTTTTTTCTTTCTCTCATTTCCTTCCTCTTTCTTTCTTTCTTTCTTTCTTTCTTTCTTCTCTCTCTCTTTCTGTTTTTCTTCCTTTCATGAGTTGATTTGAGTTTATTTGAGCCAAACAGACAACATGCCAGAGAAGCAAGATCTCAAATGCTCCTGTAACTTTCTTTCAGACTGATGAGAAGCATGTCAAGAGTACTTAGAATTAAGTCTTTAAATTGTGAAGCCTGTGTTACAGGTCCTTTTTTATTCTTGGTGACAATTCTTTAAAATGAACATTTTTCATCAAGCTGGAAAACAAAACAGTAGGAGCACTGGGAGAAGGTGGACTGCAGAAACTGCACAGTTCCTGAGGTAGTCAGGACAGTGGACAGAGATGAGGGACCCTTCTCACTTTAACCCGTGAGGTTGAGCATCTCAGTCTGGGTGTGGGGAGAAGATGGAGCTGATAGCTCTTACCCCTTAGCTGCTGCTACTGGCCCAGACCTTGTCCTCACATACAAGGTCCTGACGCCGGGAGGTTCGAGGACTTCATTTCTATATGAAAACCTGACATTTTTCTGAGTTGGGTCTTCCAAGTACATGTGACTCCCCAGTCACACACACAGAGATCTGTGTTGTCCCTGGCTCCCCCTTGCCCACTCCACTTCCCGCCCTCCCCCTAAACAAACTAAACAATAACATCTAAGAAAGAATATTTGCCAAGATCGTTTGTGACCCAAATTTCTGTCCTGAGAAGAGCAGCCTGCTTAGTTGGAAGCAAATACTCAAGTCTTTCTGGGAAGGCATGGAAACAGCTGGTTGGCTCAGTCTGTCACTGTGGCCAGGGTCCGTCTCCAGGGCTGTGTGGAAAGGATTTTGACTCTTTTGAAACATTTGCATTTCAGCAGCTGGGAACAGACGTTTTCTCTCCATCTAAGCACAGGCTCACATGCCTTCATCTTCCAGTTCACACACAGCAGACGCATAGATTCAAGAGATGCAATCCCACACACACATGTGCAAGCACACATACATGCATTTCCTTGAGGCACGCACATGGGCCCAGGTGCACGTACAGACACGCAGGCACACATATCCCAACACAGACACAGCTCACCTGTTCCTCCCGAGTAACGCACCAGTATATTCCACTGCCCTCTTGACATCTGTTTCTCCCTGCCTGAGGTCTCTTGAGCATACCAAATCTAACATGTCTCAGGCTGGATCTTACCTTCTCTGTAAATCTGCCCCTCCACATCAGTTCATCCGGCTCCACAAATTCACTCATTCGTGCACTCTACAGATATTTACAGAGTATCTACTTACCAGATTCTGTCCTAGGCACTAGGGAATAAACCAATCTATCTTGTGCCCTGGCTGGTGTGTTCAGTGGTTAGAGCATCGGCCCACGCACTGATTCCCAGTCAAGGGCGTGTACCTGGGTTGCGGTTGTGGAATACGAAGAAAGGAAGACAAGATGACCCCTAATCATTGGTCCTGAGCAACTGAATGAAGAGGCAAATAGCAATGCTGATTATCCAGGTGGCGAACAGTAGGCAAGAGGTTTGCAGGAGCGATCACAAGAGTTCAGTACTGGGACTGACAAGTTTGAGGGACCTGTGAGAAATCCAAATGACATATTAGGTAGTCAGTCTAGTGTTCAGGGGAGAGCTAGTGTACCAGTCAACATAGAAATAGACTTTACAGCCATGGGATTGGACGAGATCGCCTTAGGAGTAGGTAGAGAAGAGTTCCAGTGTAAAAGAGGTCCAGTGTGAAAGGCCCAAACCAGAAAGTGGTTAAACATCCTGGACATCCTCCTCCCCATCGTGACTTAACCCAGCGATTTCCAACCAGTGTGCCACAAGAATTTTTAAAACATGCAATACCTGACTATTTAGACTGACAAATTAAAAAGTGACAACAGCCACCCTGGCCGGGTAGCTCAGTTGGTTAGAGCATTGTCCCAATACGCCAACGCTGCAGGTTTGATCCCCAGTCAGGCACATATAAGAATCTACCAATGGCCCTGGCAGGTTTGACTTAGTGGTTACAGCATCAACCCACAGACCAGAGTCACAAATTTGATTCCGGTTAAGGGCACGCACCTTGGTTGCCGTTCGATCCCTGGCCCTGGTCTGGATCATCCAGGAGGCAACCAATCCATGTGTCTCTCTCACATCGATGTCTGTCTGTCTGTCTTTCTCTCTCTTCCCCTCCCACTTTGTCTGAAAATAAAGGGAAAAATATCCTTGGGCCCTGTTTGGCCGGTTTGGTTCAGCAGTTAGAATGTCGGCCCACGAACCAAAGAGTCCCAGGTTCAGTTCCTGTCAAGGGCATATACCTCCGTTGTGGTTCGTCCCCGGCCCTGGTCGGGTGGTGAGGAAGCAGCCACCGATGAGTCTCTATCACATCGACGTTTCTCTCTGTCTTTCTCTCTCTCCCTCCCTCCCACTCTCTCTAATGATAAATAGAAAAATACCCTCGGGTGAGGAATAAAAAAGAGAAAAAAGAAAAAATATCCTCGGGTGAGGATTTTTTTTAAAAATGCAAATAATGTCCCTCACTGCCTAAAATCCTTTAATAATTTCCCAATTCACTTAGTATTAATCCAAAATTCTTAGCATAGTTTACAGACCCTGTGTGATGCTTCCCTTGCTAACCTCACTTCTTGCAACTCTCCCCCAATAATTTACACGGCAGCCTTCATCAGCATTTGGCAACATCCCTGTTTCTCAAGACAACCATGTGAAGCACTTAGCACAGAGGGCTTGGTGCATAGTCCACACTCAATAAATGTCACCTGTCATCATCACACCTCTGGGCTCTCACAAATGCTCTTCCTGTTTGGGATGCTCTTCCCGGGGCTCTGCTGACTACCTCCTACCTCTCCTTCAAGTCTTTATTACTTTTCTGTTGCTGCATAACAAATTACCACAAACTAAGTGACTTAAAACAACACAAATTTATTTTCTCAGTCTCCAAGGATCAGGAGTCTGGCACTGTTTACCTGGGTCCTCTTCTCCGGATCTCACAAGGCTGAAATCAAGACCAACTGCATCCTCATCTGAAGGCTCAACTAGGGAGGGATCCACTTCCAGGATCCCTTAGGTTGTTAGCAGAATTTAGGTCCTTGTGGTTGTAGGACTGAAGCCCAGGGTCTTGTAGCTGTCGGCCAGGGACCATCCCCAGCTACTAGGAGCCTTTCTCGGGTCCTTGCACGGAGCTTCCTCCATAGGCGGTCTCACAGCATGGCAGTTTACCCCTTCAAGGCCAGCAGCAGAATTTCGCTCAGGCTTCAGATCTCTTCCTTCATTCAATAAGGGCCCTTTGAACTGGCCTGCCCAGAATAATCTCCCTTTTGATGAACTCAAAGCAACTGATTAGAGGCTCTAATTACACCTGCGTCTCTGTCATAAACCTGATCACAGGAGTGAAATCTGTCATATTTACAGTCCCTCCCTCGCCCAGGGGAGGGGATAATGTAGGAGAGCATGACCAGCAGGGGCTGGGAATCCTGCGGACCCTCTTAGAATTCTGTCTGCCATGAGGTCTTGGCCTAAAATCACTTCCTTGAAGAGACCGCCTTTGAACCTAAATCTAAAATAGGTCCCACTCTATATTCTTTCACAGTACACTGTAGGTATCTCTCATGGCACCTGTCACAAACTGTAATTGTAAACTTATTTGTATTATTATTTGTGTGATGCATTTTTTGTTTGTTTGTTTCTCTTCCCTAAGCCCTGTGATCTCCATGAGAGCAAGAAGTTTTTTTTTTTTGTAATCCTCACCCGAAGATATGTTTATATTTTTTATTGTTACTTTTTGAGAGAGAGAGAGAAACATCAGTGTGAGGGAGAAACATGGATCGGTTACCTCCAATACACGCCCTAGCTGGGGATTGAACCCACATGACCTTTTGGTATACTGGATGACACTCCAACCCACTGAGCCACCCTGCCATGGTGACGGTAGGATTTTGTTTTGTTCATCAGTGTTCTCTGTGCCCAGCACAGCAGTCGGCAATAGTAACTCATTGAGCACTGGCCAGTTTGGCTCAGAGGTTAGTAGCATTGGTCCATGGACCAAAGAGCCGTGGGTTCAATTCCCAGTCAAGGGCACATACCTGGGTTGCAGGTTTGACTCCCGGCCCTGGTTGGGGTCATGCAGAAGGCAACCAATCAATGTTTCTCTCTCTCTTCCCTCCCTCCCTTCCACTCTATCTAAAAATCAATGGAAAAACATCCTCGAGTGAGGATTAACTAAAAAAAAGGAACTCACGCCCTGGCTGGTTTTGCTCAGTGGTTACAGCATCAGCAGCCCTCGGACCAATGAGTCCCCAGGTTCGATTCTGGTCAAGAGCACGTACCTTGGTTGTGGTTTGTCCCCGACCCTGGTCGGGTCGTGCAGGAGGCAACCAGTCGATGTGGCTTTATCACATTGTTTCTCTCTCTCTCTCTACCTCCCTCCCACTCTATCTGATGATAAAGAGAAAAAATATCCTTGGGTGAGGATTTAAAAAAAAGGAACTCACTGAATGAATGACTGATAAAGAAATGTGCAAATCAAGACATGGCTTCACCTCCTCACACATTTAACAGAGACCAGAAGGGGTGTGGCACTGATTGATGTAGGTCCTGGGACAAGTGCTCTACCCTTTTAAATCTCATTTAATCCTGTTACTATTAGTAGCCCTATCTGACATAGAGAGGGGAGAAAGGTTCAGAGAGGTTAACTTTCTCACCCAAAGTCACACAGCAGGTAACTGAAAAACTCAGGACTCAAACCCAGATTGTCCTCAGTGTAACTATTGCGAATCTTCATTGGATTCAAAAGACTTGGTTGGAGAATTGGGTCTGCCACCACTTACTGACCATGTGAACTGGCACGAGTTGCTTTGGCTCTGACTCTAAGTTTGTTTGTGAAATGGGGGTGGTCATACCTACTGAAGAGTGGCTGGCAGAAGTAAGATAATGGGTATCAAGTTGTTTAAACTTAGCAGACGGTCAGTAAATGCAGCAGTGATTCTCACAGGTCAAAAGGCCACTCTGCTGAAATGAAAGGCATATTTGGTTGGACCAGGAGGGTCAAGAGGGTATAAGGAGCCCAGAAAGAGAAGCCTATGAATGTGAGGGTCTCAGGTGGAGCTGCTTGGTGTGACCCTACAAGTAAAAGTCTGGACTTACAGAAACTTACATGGAAACCAACCTGGAAGGGACCATTTGCTGAACAGAGCATCCATCGGCTGGCTTCCGTCTCCACTGCACAGGGAATTCCTGGAACCGGTGGGGCAGGTCCTTCCAAAGCTTAGGGATTCCCTGGAGAGAAGGCATGAGCTCTGAGTCCTGGGCTCCAGAGGTCTGGGCCTCCACTGCCCTTGCCTCTGTCTCCCTAGGACACTCATCACCATAGGAGAGACTCACTGGGGAAGGGCGGGGCCGAAAGAGGGAGAGCTGAAAGGCCGGGCCATCCTTAGGATTTGGGGATGCAAGTCTCCCCTTCCCATCAGTGTCTTAAGTTCCACCATGGATTCACCACATGGGTCTCCTTAGCACCCTTTCCCATTCCTCTCTTAGAAAGGGACTCTACCTCCTGCCTTCAGCCCACAAAGTCCGTGTTGGTAAAACATTCATCAGATCTTCCTCCCCCAGGACTTGGAAGAGCCCAGAGCCCTGGCCTGAGGTTAAGTCAGAGACGTGGCATTGAACTGGGAGAGGGTGTGCTCAGAGCCATCCTGCTGCCCTGCCAGGTGACGGTCACCCCTGAGCCGGAATGCTTGCAGGGTGGCAGAGCTGGAAGAGACCTCAGGGTTCTACTCCCCGACTCCGTTGGCCATGAGCAAACCAAGAGCCCGGAGAGGAAGAGGCTTGCCCAGTCACACCACTGGTTAAGAAGCAGGCTAGATCCCATCTCTGTTTCTCTTTATAACTTTGCTGTCCCATTGGTTTTCCTCGTGGAAAAGTAGAAGAGGCCATGGGGCAGGGGAGTGAGGCCATTGCCCTCTGGGCCTCTGGCTCTTCATCTGTTAAATGAGAATAACTCTACTTCCCTGCCAACACTCGACTTGTTCATGAAGCTTTCTTTCGTGAGTAAATACAGGAGGAATGATCACAGTGGCAGAATGGTCCGCCCGGTGGCAATAGGACCCCAGATTGGAGGTGACTGTGAGGGATCTGAGGGTGGGCAGGGCAGTTGGGCCCAGAAGATGTGGGTTCACCTTGTCATCCTCCCCAGGTGGAGCCCAGGCCTGGGTTGCCATGGATACCGTGTCCCTAGAGCATCAGATCCAGAGCGTGCAACGCCACATCAGCTTTCTGAAAAAAGAGCAGATGACCCTGCTGCGGGACCTGCACCTGGAGATCCTGAGGCTGCAGAAACGCTGCTCAGGTGAGGCCAGGAGAGACGGCCGGGGGGTGGGGGCGGGGGCGGCAGAGGTGACCATCGTCTTCACAGTCATCATCACTGATGGGCTGTCCGCCGCGAGCCTCTCAGGATTCACAGCAGTCCTGCCGGGTGGCTGTTCATCACCCGTTTTTTTGAATGACGAAACTGAGTTTTCAGGGCAAAGCGTTCTAGTTTGGTAGCAGAGGGAAACCCGGGAACCATTCCTGGCCATTTCCTGTCCCTTTCTAACAAATATTCACCCAGCACCTCGCAGCGCTGAGAAGCCCGCAGTCTAGCTGCAGACACACACACACAGGGAGACTCTTAAGATAACGGACAAGGAGGAGGGCTGACAGGAGTTCATGGGCAGGACCATGTCCAGCTTGCGGTGGGCGTGACACGGAGGAGACCAGGTAGCCCGGGCCCCCCAGAGGAGGCTGAGTAAGATTTAGATATGCTGAGGTATTACGGGGGATGGAGGTAGAGAAGGCATTCCAGATGAGGGAAACAGCAGGGCAAGTCCGCAGGCAGGAAACCAGAAGTGTAGGGAAAGTCCTATTTGATGGGTAAAGCTGAGCTCAGAAGAGACTGGTGAGAAACACGGCTGGAGCCAGACCATGGAAGAGCTTGACAAATACCGGGACAGCTAAGAAGTCCGACCTGTCCGGGGGAGCGGGAGTCGCTGGAGGTTTCGAGCGGCATCGTGCCGCATTACGGAACTCCCCCTGGCAGTTTATGGAAGGTGACTTGGTGGGAGAGGGGCGTAGGGAGACTGGTGGCAGGGCCGATGGCATGGTCCAGAGGAGAGACAGGGATAGAAAGAGGAGGACCAGTGGGAAGCAGATGAAAGGAAAGGACTTGGCAACCGATTGGATATGTGAGCAGAACAGAGGAAGGCCCTGAGGACAAAGCTAAATCCCAGGCCTGACCTCACTCTTGGACCTCAGGCCTCAGCTGCCTGGCCCTCTCAGAGGCCTGGCTCTGGCCCAAGTGTTCACCCAGGCCGAGTCTCTAAGTGCAGGCTTCAGAGCCAGTGACTCACAGACCGTCTCACTGGAACAGCGCCACCTCCTCATTGGACAGGTTGGTAAATTGAGGCCCAGAGAGAATCATAGGATATGTTACTGGCAGAACTAGGATTAGAACCCAGACCTCTAGATTCCCCCTCCCTTGTGCCTCTGTGGCTTTCTGCACATTCTCTGCCCAGGATGGTCAGACTTCTGTCTCCCTTCCACCCCTGCTCATGGGAAGCTCTCCATTCCCCAGAGGAAACTGAGGTCCAGAGCGTCTGAGCAACCTGCCTGGTTTCTCACTTTGGCATAAAAAACTGGTAGTCCTGACTCAGCCCCCACAGCCTCCTCCCACTCCATATGCAGGTTCAACTGCCAGGCTCCCCGGACTCTCCCCCAAAGCCTGCATGGCAGCAGAGCCAGCCCCACACTGACTCACCCCTGCCTGATGCCACTTTTTGTTGTTGTTAATCCTCACCCGAGGATATTTTTTTTTTCCATTGATTTTTAGAGAGGGTGGAAGGCGGGGGGGGGGGAGAGAGAAACATCGATGTGAGAGAGACACATCGATTGGTTGCCTCCCGCACATGCCTGCCCAGTGCTGGGATTCAAACCTGCAACCCAGGTACATGCCCTTGACCCATGACCCTCCAGTGCATGGACAGATGCTCTAACCACTGACCCACACCAGTCAGGGCAGTTCAATGCCAGTTTTTCTTTTTTTTATCTGCACCCGAGGACATTTTTGCATTTATCCTCAGATAGAGCTGGAGGGAGAGAGGGAAGAAGAGAGAGAGAGAAATATCAATGCGAGAGAGACACATCGACTGGTTGCCACCCACATGACCCCAACCGGGGCAGGGAAAAACTGCAACCAAGGTACATGCCCTTAGCGGGAACCAAACCCAGGACTCTCTGGTCCACAGGCTGATGCTCTAACCACTGAGAAAACTGGCCAGAGCATGATGCCAGTTTTTCATTGCAGTAACATTCAAGGAAAATTGAGATGAGCAAACCCCAAGACCCTACAGTTGCTCCTTTAATTTCTTTTTGTTTTGCCCTCATTCTAAAGACCTGAGTCCTTCCACTCAGGACACAGGCCAGGATCCCAAGAAGTATGATAGGCAGGAACAGAGGGCCCTCGGCCCCCATCACCCTTCTCAGATGGGTCTGGGCCTGCAGCCTCTAGGTTATTGATTAAGGAGATAAAAATAACTCTGGGCTGGCCGGGGCAGCTGCCCTTGGGGCTAAAATGACTGGATAAGGCCCTCCCTCCAAGGGTGGGGGAGTGAGGAGAAGAGAGCAGAACAGAAGAGATTTAAAAAGAACATTCAAGAGGGCTCATGGGAATGGGAGGCCCACTGTAGGAGCCAAGGGGGCAGGGTGCTGGGAGAGCCTACCAAAAAGAGATGAAGACTCAGAATAAAGGGCTCGAGAGGTGCATGAATGTGTTCTGGGTGGTGGCGTGGCCGGCTGATAACAAGAACTGCCCCGTGTGTTCAGTACTGACTCAGCCCTGGGCTGAACCTTCTGTTTCTTTCTCCCGTTTAATCCCAGCAACAGCTCCCTGTGAGGCAGGAGCAATCTTATCCCCATTATGCAGATGAGAAAACTGAGGCTCAGAGAGGTGCTGTCACTGGCCCAAGGTCATAGTGTATCTGACCTCACAACATACTCATCAAAACTGAGGGAACTCTGACCAGAAGATAAGCAGGGAGATTTTTAAAAATAGTTTATTGATGTTTAGAGAGAGGAAGGGAGAGGGAGAGAAGGAGAAACATCGATGTGAGAGCATGACATCAATTGGCTGCCTCCTCACACCCCTTACCAAGGATTGCCTGGGAATCCAGCCTGCAAAGGGGGCATGTGCCCTGACCAGGATCAGACTGGCAACCTTTCGGTGCAAGGGAGCCACACTGGCCAGGGCTGAGCAGGGAGATTTGATAGATGGGGCTGAGGGGCCCAGCTGATGTTCATCTCCCCTCCCCCAACTCTTGTGGTTAAGGGCTGAGGAGAAACCAGTCCACAGGGAATTAGCCCAAGTCCCTGAGCTATGTTCCTGAACCTACTCCAGGTTCCCTTGAGCTACAATGCAGGGCCTTGGAGAAGGGGCCAAGTTGGCCCCAGGAAGCCCTGGGGGTGGAGGCATCAGAGTGCTCCCAGGGGCCCCAGGGATAAGGTTCAGGCTGCGGTCACAGCAAAAAAGCCTCGGCACCCCAGCTTTCTGTCTCCTAGCAGCAGCTGGCCTCCCCAGGGATGGTACCTCCAGCAAAGCCCCTGGGTGGGGGCAAACAGAAGACCCACAAGGCTGTCTCTGTAGGTACTGCCACATGGTGGTCCCAGAGACATGTTACCTTCTCCCACCCCCAGGTTCACACCTTCTCCCTCTGAGCGCCGACTGCACCCCTGCAGTACACAAAGGTGCTTCTGAGTCCGTGCCCTCATACAGGCAGCGGTGGCTCCCTCGTGCCCCTTTCCCAGCTACTGGTGGAATTGGGGGGGGGGGGGTTGGGGGGCTAACAAAATGATCAACTCAGCTGGCTGAGGGATAGGGCTTTCTGGGCTGTAAGGCATGGGGCAGGGAAGACAGGCGGCAGAGAGGTGTGACTGGGCTGCCAGCCAGTTCCCAGGAGGAAACTGCCCCTGCACTAGCGCCCTTGGCAGGCTCCTTGGCTGCCCGCCCCCTCAGCACGAAGCCACACACTTGGTACCAAGAGCCCTGCAGGCTTTCATCACCAGGTGGCGCTGTCCTCCTAGACGCCCTTCTCCCCACCAGGTGGAGCGAGTCGGAACTGGGCTGCGAGAGGGGCAGGGCTGGTGTTCAAAAAATAACATTGGCGTGACAATACTGGCTGTGAAAATAGTGAAACGTGTGTGTCCTATTGGTAAATAGCCACTACCCTGAGTCCCCCTCCAGTGTCCCCAAGCAGCCGATCCAGGCCACTCCAGCCTTCCTGGATCCACCAATTTAACCAGAAAGGGTCTGTGCCCTGCACAGTAGGGGGTCCTTCAGACCAACTCTGACTGGTTGGCATGTTAAGTATTTGTTCATCATCCTGGGAAGGAGCAAATACTTTCCTGCCCCAAAAGCAAGTCAGGCTCCTCAATCCCACCAGAGTTGAACTAACTCCCAAATCTCAGCCACAAAGCTTGCACTGGGAAGATCTCTGGGTTTAGAATCAGACAAATGAGGCTCAGGCTGTGCGTTGGCACCTCTGTCCATCTGTTCCCCTTGCTGGGCTGTAGTAAAATGGGGATGGGGTGATGTGGATGGTTCCTAAGGATCCTTATTGCCACTTTCATTGAGCCAGCATTCCCTGATCGCGCACACACGCGAACACACACACACACACACACACACACACGCTACCTTTTCTTTTCTCTTCCCCCAGAACTGACTCATGACCTGGAGATGAGAGAGGCCCAATCTCACCAGCAAGGTAAGAGAAGTATGACTGGTGGGGAAGTGCCATGAGGGCCCAATAGGTCATCTTTTCCCACCACTTAGAAGGACCCAAGCCTTCTCTGTCCCCAGTCCAGACTTGGGGACAGCCACTCCTCAGCTTGTGGAACACAGTGTGGGATGTCAGCCCCTCTTGCCCATTCAGCTGTATAACCCTGTGCAATGAACAGCCTGCACCACCATACATGGTGCCCTGTATCCATATTCCTGGCGAAAGCAGGAAAATGAAAGCAGGTAGGAGACAGTGTCCAGGAGGTCCTCCTGGCCAAATTCATTCCTCTCTGTGACCTACCTCCCCAATCCTTCCCATCCTTGCACAAGTGATTCTCACAGTCAGTGTCCATGTCCTTCCAGATACAGTGTCAAAATGCAACACAATGACAATATGGAGTCCCTTAGCCTAGAAGGGAAGAGAGACATGCACATTAGCAAATCTTTCATTTTACAGAAGCATGACTTCTTGCCAATGTAACAATTCCACTAAAAGATTACTTTTGAAGATTATTACTTCATCCATAAAATGGCAGGTGAGACGGGAAGATTGGTATTCATAGGTGTAGAGTTTCAGTTTTGCAAGATAAAAAAGTTCTAGAGATCTGTTGCACAACATTATGAGCATACTTCACATTACTGAACTGTACCCTTAAAAATTGATAGGGCCCTGGCTGGTTTGGCTCAGCGGTTGGCCTGCGGACCAGAGAGACCCGGGTTCGGTTCCCACTAGGGGCACTTACCAAAAAAATAAATAAATATTTTTTAAAAAATTGATGGGGCGGTAAATTTTATGTTGTTATTTTGACCAGAAATAAATTTTTTTAATGGAAGGGTTTGCTTTGCTGATCATAAGCACCAGATTGTATGATCTCTGAGAATTAGGACTGGGTAGTACCCATTGCCTCCAAGTACAAGACATATTACCTGCCACGGAGAGGGATTCCGTAAATGCTTAACTAAAAATGAATCCCAGAAATAGTATTTCTTAGCCAGGAGAGATTTAAGACTGGAGCCCCTGCCGTATTGATGTGCTGCTTATAGATCGGGAGCTATATGACGAAGGGTGAGGGGTGGGAAAGCTGGAAGTTTAAGGTAAGATGTTGGGAGCCCTACAAATTGCTTTGGGTATGTGTGCATAAAGATATAAACACTTCGAGCCCTGGCCAGTTTGGCTCAGCGGTTAGAGCGTCGACCTGCGGTCCGGAGAGACCCGGGTTCGGTTCCCGCTAAGGGCACGTACTTCGGTTGCAGTTTGTCCCCGGCCCTGGTTGGTCGTGCGGGTGACAGCCACTCGATGTGTCCCTTCACGTCGATGTTTCTCACTCTCTCTCCCTTCCTCTCTCTCCCTCCCACTCTATCTGTACAAAAAAGAAATGAAAAAAAATGTCCTCGGGTGAGGATAAAAAAAAAAAAAAAAGATATAAACACTTCGAGATTTGAAGGAATTCTGCCAACTTCTTGAAGTGGCAACTATGGACAATGTCTTGGTGCCTAGGTACTTGGAAGCAGGAGGTACACGTCCCAGACACCAGAAAAGACAGTTCTGTGACAACAGCAGCTTTCATTCCACCTATTATCCTTGCTCTGGACAGGCTTTGGGGGTCATCTGGGCTCAAGGCCCTGCCTCAGTGTCCTGGTTTTTATCTTTTCTCTCAGTGGGCTTGAGAGGTTTTTTGTCCTCTTTTTCTATGAAAATCACCAAGTGCTTTTCATGTCCACTCCAGAGTCACCTTTTACCTACTTGTCACCTTTCAGCAACATATGCCCCTACACTCACTCATATGTGCCAATCCAGGATACTGTTCTTGCTGAAACGAAGCTAACAATCCAGGAAGCAAGGGTCCGCAACTCAGAGGGTCAATTAGAATCACCTGGGAAGATTTAAGAAGTGCCACTTCCCAGGTTCAATCCCAGAGATTCCGATTCAACTGGTCTTTGGTAGGGCCTGGGAAATTTATTATTATTATTTTTTTTACCCTCACCTGAGGATATTTTTATATTTATCTTCAGGTAGAGAGAGAGGGAGAAAAAGAGAGAGAGAAATGTCGACGTGAGAGGGACACATCGACTGGTTGCCTCCTGCACAACCCCAACCAGGGCTGGGGATGAACCATAACGAGGTACATGCCCTTGGCTGGAATCCAACCCAGAGTTCATTGGTCCACAGACTGATGCTCTACCGCTGAGTCAAACTGGCCAGGGCTCAGGAAACTTTTTTAAAGCTCTCTGAAAGGTTCCAATGTATATCCTGGATTGAAACCCAATGCAATGGGCAAAGGCGAACAATAAAGTAAACCAAAAGTTTTAAAATGTAATAAACTGTCTCTCTACAGAACAAACTCCCCTCTCCTGCTCACACTGCCGGTTCTAACAAACAGTCCCTTGTTCATGCATGTCTCTGCCACAGGGCTTTTGCACCAGTCCTCCCCTCTGCCCTAAGCACACGCCTTTCCTCTCCTCACTACTTAACTCCTATTCACCTTTCAGATCCTAGCCCATGTCGCGCTTCTGCTGAGAAGCCTTCCTGGATCAGGTCACAGTGTCCTGTTAGTCGTGGCATTGGCACATGTCACATATGAATCTCACCTCTATTTGTAATTTTGCCCTATGCCTCTCCCACTATGCTTGCTGTAAGCTTCTTGTGGAATGTTTTCTTAGCCACCATAGCCAGTGTCTGACACAGTGCACATAGTAAGGGCTCAACAAATATGTGTGGGGTAAATAAATGGTCAGAGTTTTGCGCTTAAGCTGAAACCTCAAGAATTGGAGGAGCGGGCAAGCCGAGGGTAGGATAGGTGCAAAGGCCCTGAGGGAGAAATGGGAAGGCCCATGTGCCCATGGGGAGCGAGAGAGAGCGGGGCAGGACGTGTAGCTAGGGAGTCGCCGGGCTTAGTTAGGAGGATGGGTGAGCTGTCTGCACCATCACCTCCTCTCCTCCCCATCTCCCCTTTCCAGAGGCGGCGTCCCGGGAGCTGGAAAGCAAGTGCCGTGCGCTGGAGTCGCAGCTGGAGGCGCGGGCGGCGGCCAACTCGGAGCTGCGGCGGGAGGTGGCTCAGCGCGAGGCGCTGGTGTCCGCACTGCGCTGCAGCCTGCGCGCCGAGGAGCGGCGCTTCCTGGAGGAGCTGCGTCGCCGCAGCCACCGCGCCACCGTGCTAGGCACCGAGCTGCAGAAGCACACCGAGGCGGCCGCCTACCTCTCCTGCCAGCTGCACGCGGCACGCCAGAGACTGCAGACACCGCGCCTGGGCCCCGGCGCCGCCGCCGAGCCCCGGCCCCGCCGGCGCGCACAACGATCCCGCCGCCCGCCCGCTACGGAAGCCGCCGCCAAGGGTCCGGGCCGGGACTGGGTCGCCTGGGACCGCGCAGCCTGCGCCCTGGACGACGCCGACCCAATGCCCGATCCCGCGCTCTTCCTCTATGCCCGGAGGCCCCCGCGGTCCAGCGGCCGCAGCCCGCGCCAGCCGCCTACCCTGGAGCCCCCGGACCAAACCGACCCACCGGCTGCGCCCAACCTGCCCAGTGCGCCCGGGGCCCCGGAATAGGCGCGGGGCTGGCGGGGCGGCGGGGAGTGGGGGAGGCCAGCACCCGGCTAGGAACGGAGCCCGGGCCTTGCGGACAGGTCCCGGGGCCGAGGGAGCCGGTCCCTCCTCCAGGGATCCGGTCGAGGTGGCCCTGGCTCCTCCATCCCTTCTAACCGCCCCCGCCTTTTGTATTTCCCAACGTCTCCGAAGCTTCGAGCTGCCCTGCCCCGCGAAGGAGCTGCTCCGCGGGGCTCCGCCAGCGCACCTTTTTTGTGGAGGACTCGCAATGCAGATCCTTATCTGGTCCCCACCCTGCTCCTGGGAGGGAAGGGGGCGAGGGTCGCGCCCTGTCCTGGGAAAGCTGACAATCGTTTGGTGCGAGGGGGAAGGTTGGGCCGGCCTACGGAAAGGAACCAGGAACCGGAGTGGCACTTAGCACCCCTAGGCCTTCCAGCTCTACCCCTCCCCTCCCCCCGCGGCCTCCCCCAGCCCCGCACGGCTGCCCTTCCCTCCAAGCCTTCCTCCGAGGGGAGAGGCTCGGGTTCATGGGCTAGAGGCTGGACCTTTTCCTCGGAGCCGCTTCTCCTCCCCCTGCCCTGCTGATAGGTCCTTACAGGTGAGCACCTAACACTTTAGAAGAACCTCCTCCCAGAGCCTCTGGTGGGATGTATGGCCTGATGGAAGTTTGAACTTCTGGAAGGTAGCCTCACAGACCCTTAGGATCACGGACGGGGTTGGTGGCAGAGGCCAGTCTCGAGCTGTCTGCAGCGCAGTTCCTCCAGGGGTGCCGACAGGGATGCAGACTGGGAGCTGTGCTGGGGAAGTGAGGGACACTCCGGCCTATGCAGGGGCAGAACCTGCCTTCAGAAGGTAGCTGGGAACCTGAGTGCGCCCTGGGAGTTTTCCTAGTCCTGTTCATTGGTGCTAATTTTGTCCAGCTTCCTAATTAGCTGGGTGCACCCAGAGGCTGGAAGAAGGACACGGCTTCTTGGAAGTGGCCGTTGATAGAGGTTTGAGTTGGCTGGGGAGGGAGGCCCCCAGTGCTATCAGACCTGACAGTGGTGGGGTGCTCAGGGTCCTGTCTAGTTTGGGGAGAGGTGAAATGGAAAGGGTAACGCCCACCTGCTGGCTGCCTTTCCCCCCTGCTCCGCTCTCATGGCCAAAGGCAGTTTCCGGTTCAGCTCAATGCCCTCACCACAAGCCCAGCCTAGAAAGAAGACAGAACGCTAGAGCCTCCCACCCCCAAGCCATCCTTCCTCCATCCTTGGTCCTGCATTGAGTCCTAAGTGCCTGTGAGGTCTTCCAGGGACTGCAGAGGGAGGACACGGGGCAGGGAGAGGCCTTTACCTTACTCACAAACACCCCATCCTGGCAGGTCCTGACCCTGGCTGAGGCCGGGCATTCTGCATGTCACCCAAAGATCTTCGAGGTGAGCGGAGGCGATCTCTAGGGGAGATGAACCCTTCTGCCATCACAGCTCCCATGAAGAAGAGAGAGGAATCCCCAGGCATACCCTCTCTCATTACATATGTTAGTAGGATGGGAATCAGCAAGAAGCAAAACCGAGGAGCACACTCCCAGCCCACACAAACGCAGTGCCCTCCCCAGCCTGCCACACTCAGGACTGCTGAGACCACCGAGCAATAACCAGCTGGTCTAGGTGTCCAGCCACTGGGATGCAGAGGCCAAGGTGTGGGCACCCTTGGGATAGACAGTGCTCTCCAGTCTAACTTGGGCCACAGTGGTGGCCTGGGGCCCTTGCTGTGCCTGCCCCTGTCCCTCCCGTCCCCAGCTTCTGTGGTTGTGCCTCTGCCCTCAGTATCTCCTCTCAAGCGTGTGTAGCTCAGTGTTCCCTTGTCCTGTCACCTCCCTTTCACTGTGTGACAGGGTAAGGAGACCTTGCTCCTCTCGGCTGCACTCACCTGAAGGGGCCAGAGGACGGTGGAAAGGAGGGAAAGGGTGCCTCCCTGGAGATGCCCATCCAAACCCTCATCTTCCACAACCACACTTGGGTTGAACAGGGTGACTTTGTTGCGCAGATTCTTCTACAGAAATGGTGATGTACTTTATCCACCCGCCCACTAAAAGCCATAGCTACGCCACCTGACCTCCCCACAGCTCTATAGCAATAGCCCTCTTCCCCCTTCCCTCCTGAACTCAAAGCATCCATCTGGGGACCCCTACCAAACCCCCAGCCCAGGGATCCTCAAGTGACCTGCCTTCCTCTCCCCAAGTGACCCCCATCAGCACCTCCCAGCTTCTGTCCTTCCAACAACCAGAGATAATGACACTTAATTGTTCGTGGGGTGGTTGGAGATCCCCCAGATGAAAGGTTCTGAGTGCTGGGGCGGCTGACTCAACTCTCAGCCTGGGAAAGGAAATAAGACAACCCTTCCCACTCCATTGAGCAAGCCGGAGGAGGGGCTGAGGCAGACACAGGTTTCCAATTTTAACAGACTTTCCCTTTCCCCATCCCTCTCCTGGACTAGAGACTCCTCTCCACCCCTCTGCCCTGCCCCAGGTTTGGAACAAACCCTAAGGGCGGCAGAATGGAACGAGAGTCAGTGGCCTGCCCTTGGCCTCAGGACCTGGGGGTTGCCCTGCCCACAGCTTCTGGCACTCCCCCCTTCCTAGCCTGGGGGACACATCCTGCCAAAGGAAGACCCCCTTCCACAAACCCCTGCAATGTTTAGGTGACTAGAAGGGAAAGGGTTGTTTCTCCTCCCCCTTCTCTCCTCTTCTCTGCTGCACAGATCCCCACTGGGGCAGGGCCATGTTGAATGGACAGTCAGGGGCCCTAGTTGTAGCTCCAGCGTACCCCATGTGTGGGCGGACCCAGGAAGGAAAGCTGCCCACTCGCAGGGACCAGTGGGCAATGCAGTGTGCAGATCTATACCCCCACCTCCCCATATCCTATCCACAGCAGACTTCAGTTTGGGGAACCAGTTCAGGGCTGAAATGGGGTAGCCCTTCCCCAAATCAGCAGCAGAATGGAGTCCTCCTTTGTGGAGAGGAAGGCGGCCTGGGGTGCAAAGTAGCATCTCAGTGCCAAGAGCTGGGGACCGCGAAGCACTTGCTCACTGAGATGCCAGCCTTGAATGGGGTCGGGCAGGGCAGGGCAGAGGCATCCTGCTCCACATTCTCTGTTGGCTGTGCTTTTTACTCCAATGCTTTTCAGAGTGTATTTACTCACCCACAGAAATAGAGCCCTGTGCTTTAAGGGTGACTGTCATATGCCTTATTCTTAATAAAATATCTGAAAAACACAAGCCAGACCTCTTCTCTGTGGGCACTCCACCCCACCCCACCCCTGTTCCCGCAGGTGTGGGGGAGGATGTGGAAGAGATAGAGAGTGGTTTGGGAGTCAGCCAGTGGGTTGGATGAGGCTGGAAGCGGAGACTCTGGAGTCCCCCTTGGTAGATATTTCTCACATAAAGCAGAAGGCACTCATCTGAGATGTCTCGATGCTTGGGCTAGCCCTGTCCCTCTCTCCATGTCACTCCGATTCAAATGAACAAATGAGACCTTGGATCAGAGACTCCCAGCTAGGGTCGGGAAGGCTAGATTGGAAGTGCTCCATGCCTGGAATTGACCATTGTCTTAGCCTGGAAGAAATTCTGGTATTCTGGCATCTTTGGCCATGTTGGTCCCCTTCCTGGTCACCAACCCCATCTGACACCCACCCCATCTGATCCAGCTGCAAGAAGCCCAGCATCCCTGGTAAGAGCCGTTTTCTGATCCTCCACCACTTGCCGGTTATCCTGGGACAGCAGTTTGACAGCTCAGCACACCCAGCACCCACAAGAATTCATGCCTATACGTTTCAGTGTAGGTCTGTGTTGTGGATGGCTCTAGGACAGTGATTTTTCAACCCATGTGCCATAGTAGGCACACTGGCATGCCGGTTAATCCTCACCAGAGGATATTTTTCCATTGATTTTTAGACACAGTGGAAGGGAAGGAGAGAGAGAGAAACATCAGTGTGAGAGAGACACATCGATTAGATTAGTGGCCTCCTGCCGACCCAAGCTGGGGATCGAACCTGCAATCCAGGTACGTGCCCTTGACCGGGAATTGAAGCTGAGACTCTGATTCATAGGCCATTGCTATAACTGATGAGCCAAACTGGCCAGGGCTATGACACACTTTTTAAAGCCATTTTAAGTTGAATTTTAGTGCTTTGCGAACTTCAAGAATCCCGGTGATATCCAAGAATAATCACTGGAGGAAAAATAAATGGACACCAACAAGTAAAATCTGAATAAAATATTCACAGAGCTCTGGGGAGCGAGTGACCACTTTCAGTCACCAGGACTAAGAAGGAGTTTAACAGGCACAATAGTATCTGCATTTGACTTCGTAGACATGGGATGGCTTCCACATCTGTCCCCATGACACTTCTCCCAGGGAAGCTGGCGTAGAGAAAAGGTAAGTGACTTGCTCAAGGTCACAGAGTGAAGAAGTCAGGGATGGGGCTAGACTTGAAGTCACATACTCAGTGTATCTGGGTGGAGCTGGCGGGCAGGCCCAGTCTGCCCCATCTCAGTTCCTTGCTCCAGCCTCTGAGGATCAAGTTTGAACCCAGGATGGGCCAGGATCAGACCTGCAGCAAGCCCAGGAAGTATGGCCCAGGTCGCTACTTGTCCCTGGCCTTTTATCTCCTGGGGCAGCTAGGATAGGGAAGGCCCAGCCCTGGATAAACACCTGCCCAGAACTCTGAGGTTCCATGTAAAATTCAAGAAAAAGGAAAGAGCCCTGGCTGGTTTGGCTCAGCGGTCAGAGTGTTGGCCCGTGGACCAAAGAGTCGTGAGTTCAACTACGGTCAAGGGTACGCACCTTGGTTGGGGTTCAGTCCCCGGGCCTAGTTGCTGTCTTGCGGGAGGCAGCCAGTCGATGTGTCTCTCTCACATCAATGTTTCTCTCTCTCTCCCTCTCTTCCTCTCACTCTATCTGAACATAAATGGAAAGAAAGAAAGAAAGAAAGAAAGAAAGAAAGAAAGAAAGAAAGAAAGAAAGAAAGAAGAGAGAAGACAGGGAAGGGAGTA